CAAAATTGAATCCTGAAAAGCATGGCTTTTACTCTGAAGACTGCTCTTCGGGGCTGGATGCGAAATTTGAATGTGACTCGACGAAGACCTCTGTGCCCCATCGATGATCAAGAAGAGCAGGGCCAAGTAGCAACGGATTACAATTTTCGATTCCATTCCGCCGCGTTCATTTCAGAACTGCAGAGGCACTTCGAATTTCATCGAGTAACTGGAATAATTCGAACTAACTTCAGGTTTCAATTTATTCATGCACCTCGTGTCTGGACGATATATACGCATGCACTCGAATCTCCGGCAGCTTCGGACAAACCAAAAGGACAATCCCTTTCCACAGAAATAGTTAAACGCCAAAGTCAATTAATCTACACCACATCCATTACCAAGTAGAAATCGGAAAGAGAAAAACCAAACAACACTTTTAACAGGATCTGAAATTGTTCCCACGAGTGTTACTCGGTTCTTTCGGAAATTCTCAGAGTTCACTGCGTCACTAATCCAGAAAATGTCACTAAAGTTTCGGGCACTTGTCTTCTTTTTTTTATTTAATATGTATTGCGGCAAAGTTCACGGTTTACGCGTAGATGCGGAGGTCCTTAATTTCGGCGTTATCGCTCGAGTATCCTTATCGAGAAAGCCAGGACGGATCGTGAGACACTTTCGACCGGATAACTCTTCAGAACTGTTCGCCGCGCGACTAACGCAGCCTAATTTATATTTTCCGGGGATCCGAGAGGGAGAGGTTAGGCGAAAAACGTTGACTCCTGTTAAGGTACAATCTAAAGCCTCGGAGCGGGTCCGAGCGTTCCAGTTCTTCGTGCGGTCCGGATCGATTCGATCGGCTAGCCACTTTTACGTCACGGACGAGATCCGAAATTTTCGCGGAAGCTTCCTCGACGATTTGTGATCCAACTAAGGAAAATCGGAAAGGAGGAAGCTGTCCTTTCACTCCCAGGCTCGGGGTCCGATATTCCGTTTCCAAAAGATGGAAAAAAGACGTCTAATTCGATGCATCCGGCGAGATAGAAGGATCTCATTACGAATTATCATGTCTACGAATGATTTTAAATATATCACATGTATTTACTTAATTTTACATTTCCATGCTTTCCTTCTTTGGATCGATTCGATCGGCTAGCCTCTTTTACGTTAGGGATGAGATCCGAAATTTTCGCGGAAGCTTCCTCGACGATTTGTGATCCAACTAAGGAAAATCGGAAAGGAGGAAGCTGTCTTTTTACTCCCAGGCTCGGGGTACGATATTCGTTTGCAAAAGGTATAAAAAAGACGTCATTAATTCTATGCATCCGGCGAGATAGAAGGATCTCATTACGAATTATCATGTCTACGAATGATTTTAAATATATCACATGTATTTACTTAATTTTATATTTCCATGCTTTCCTTCTCCGGATCGGAGGTAATTTTCGCATCATTACTCCATTTAGTGAATTTAAATCCCATTAGCGACTTAGTCCTCGTAAAAGGTAATAAAGTAATAAACATTAAAATTAAAATACGCGTATTAACCTCATTCTTGAAAACGTGTAATTTCATGACAAATCGACGTAAACAATTGCTAAATTCACGAAATTTGTATATGTAGCTAACTGTCTCCATCTTCAATTCTCAATAAATATTATTAACAATATACATTAATTACCCTCGACTATCAGAAATTCAACCGGAACGTCTCTGCGTAGATCATATTAATATTTTTGGCTGCGCATTTTTTGGGAGCGTGGAATATCTCGGGATATTTTCGAATATCCTGAAATCTCTCAAAATTGTGGGGACTTGCATCGGAATTGTCCGTATCATTTAACCGAGTCTTCCGGAACTGAGTTAGAACGGTTCTTTGGACACTCGAAGTGGCGGCGAAGAAAGTCGAGCTCCAGTCGGACACGCTTCATGGACCAACACGGAAAGGCAGAAAATCGTTCGGCACAAAGCCGACGGATGATATAAATGATTCGCAAATTGTCCAATGAGATAAATCGCAAATGGACTGCGAAATCTCGCGGCTTAAACTGCGGTTTAGCATGCGTCCGCATCAACTTTCGAACGATTTATGGTGATATTTTATTAAATTTCTCCATTAAATCGTTTTAACGTTGCAAAAAGTTATCAACAAACTTGGTAGAGTTTCTGATAACGGAATTACAAGGTTCAAAATGCCGGATAAAAATTTCAAAATGGTTGAATTTTTGTAAGGAAGAGCTTTTTATCACTGTGGTGGCCAAATCTAATCCGATGGATGATATAAATGATTCATAAATGGTCCAATGACATTAATCGTAAATGGACTGCGAAATCTCGCGGATCAAACTGCGGTTTTGCATGCGGCCGCATCAACTTTCGAACGATTTATGGTGATATTTTATTAAATTTCTCCATTAAATCGTTTTAAGGTTGCAAAAAGTTATCAAGAAACTTGGTAGAGTTTCTGATAACGGAATTACAAGGTTCAAAATGCCGGATACACATTTCAAAATGGTTAGATTTTGGTTAGAAAGAGTTTTTTATGTCACCGTAGTCGTCAAATCCAATCCGATAACAGAATTTAAAAATTCAAAATGACGGATAAAAATTTTAAACTTGTAGGATTTTTATCAACCATCGTAAGCGGTGGCAGTTCTCGGAATGATTAAAAATTTTGTGGTGACATTGTTGTGCTAATATATTTCTAATGCAATCGTTAAAATCTAACTTTCAGGTATTTCATAGCTCTGAATGGTTCCAGGAAGATTAAAGAAAACGTTTCGGCAACTTGGTACGGTTTTTTACTTATTCAATGCAACCATATAATAGGTCGGAAAAATTTGTTACTTAGATTTGCAATTCAATTATTATTCTCTGCTACCTACAATGATGTGCAATCATCTGCAGTAAATTAAAAAGTTCATTGAAATGACTGCAAGAAATGTTAAAACGGTCCTAATCATCGGGCTGTATTTTTCCCCGAATGTCAAGATACAAGATACAAGATTGTCTAAGATTTTTGTGACCACTAACCGTGTGACTAAACATTTTGGTACCGTTCTTCGGAATGATTTCGTAGTTAACCGTGACGCGCCATTAAGATCATTAACTACTTTTAGTCTCCCCGAAGCGGAAGAAAAATAAGGATTTTAGGTTTTTACAGGATAATGTAATTGTAATCCTTCTTCGAGTCGACGACCACTGTCGTTGAACCTGGAAGAATTCACGTCTATCTTGTGGTTGAAATTCCTGCGGTTAACAATTCACGGTAAATTGGTAAGTGACACTGTTAACACGTGCAGGAATAAGGAAGAAATTATTTAGAGATAGCAGTTCAACTTTAAGTAGCTCTTTTTTTTTTAAATAAAAATATACCAATCCTAACAATCAAAATCTTTCAAGTACGATATAAATTCCATTAAAATATAAGCACAGATATCGTAAATAAATGAAACAAAAAAATTACCGTACGTGAGTTAAAAACAATTGCGACGACTCCAGTCGTGGAATATATTTGATAAAAAACCGACATTCTGAAAGTTCAGAAAGAAAAAGTTTACAAATACTTTCGAGGGAATGAGTAATACCATTTTGCCAATGCTTATTAATTCATCTGTTTTATTATCATTGTTATGCAGCAATTAAGAGTTTACGAGAATTTCACAGTAAACGGGCGATTTCTAGCAATGATAAAGGAAATTGATCGTTCAAATGCGCAGTAATTTTTATGACATAAACGAAGGGTATTTTAAAAAGACATAAGTTGTACGACGCAAGTGTTAAATATTTATTTCTAATAGGTGAAAGAACAGGAAAGAAAGTGTTTCAATGTGAAAGTTCGATATCAAGTGGTCTTTTATTCGAGAATAAAAATAATACACTAACGATAAGGGCCTCTTAACATTAGGATGTAAATAACTAATAAGAATAGCATAAAAAATATAGACATAAATACCGACATATAACGAAACAAGTACAGGTGTTAAAAAATCAATCAACCAATTACCATCAGCTGAGTTGCAATACGTTTTCTTGAAGGATCGATATTCGACAAATGTATAAAGAAGGAGTTTACAAAGATTGACGGTAAACAAATTTCCGGTGGCGATAAATGGGATTGATTGTTCATGTGTATCGGCTCAACGTTTTCTTGCCTTGTTAAAAAAATAAATACATATCTTTAATAACGAGACGGATGACGGACATATTCACAAGATGAGTTTTTTGCTCAGGAAAGGAGCACATACATCCGTTTAGAAATCGTAAAGAATAAGTGATAGGTACAATCTCGAGCATAGATAACGAATGTATTCATCATACCATGACGTGCCATTAGCTATTACTTATGATTCACCTACCGTACTAAGAGTTTCTGCAATTTGCAGAAACTTCATCGTTTCGTTATTTTTATCATATCGATACAAAGTCAGAGCTTTCAAGAAGTTTTTGAAATACCACCATTAGTCCACAAATTTCGGTAGATGGGAAATTTACATAATGTACCAATGTGAGGGTGGAACTTTTATTCCGTACATTACGTGTAAAATCTAAATATTGATATTTTAATGTAATAAATAAGAAATGGCGAATGATTAATGTCAAAGAATTGATCAATTGAAAAGTTCAACAGAAAAGGAAGAGGAGAACGTCTTGATTTATTGATGGAATTAATGAGGGAAATACCAGTTTTTCTGTTGATTTCACTTTAGCTAAGGTTTCCCTTGACGAAAAATAAAGACAAAGCAAGAACCAGGAATAGACGCAGAACTGCAAAACCCCTTTCAAGTGTTCTCTTCTGCGAAGCTTCTTTTAAAGCGTCTTAAGGCTTTGCTTAGCTCTTAGTTTTTGTGCATACTTGAATTCTTAACGTGTGTTTTTATCTTCGAAACAGTTTTCAATACTCTACTGTTACGTGCTACTAAGCCGTCTTCATCTTTTACAGTTTCCTTCGGCTAATTTTAATTTTATGCTTTTCTGCCGCTAATCGAACAAATATAAACAACGCAATATTCCGTCTAAAGCATTGATCGCTATGAGCACCACTTTGTAAGTTTAAACTTAATACAGAAATAATTATTATATATTCTATTAACTCTACTTAGCAAACTTATGTATTATGAACGTTTTTAACAGTCTCGAGGATATTCTTCCAAGTCTAAAAAAGAACCAATGTTGAATAGAAATAATATTTGTCATGTAACCCTATGTATCGCTGGCATGGCCACATAAATACGATAATTTCATAAAAGTCATAATTAAGTATTGCGTGATTTATATTTTGTGTATCTACCTAAGATGCATTGTAAAATGTTGTTTATACCTTCGCGTAAACAGAGCCTTTTTGGGAAAATGGTTTGTTAAGCTTCGAGACGTTTATGATGCGAGAATCTTCCTCTCGATTGATGAATGCTCCGCCATTTTGGCTGTTTCCAAAAAGGTACAATATGACTACAATAAATCGTAATTTGCGACGGTTTCAGGTACTACAAAAAGACATGGCAAATGTCTAGGATGAAACCATTGGTTTCCAAGAATTGCTTTCCTCCGAAGAAGTTTGGGCCGCTTCGGGTTGCGTAGACTGTAGCATGGCCGCTTCCGGTTTGAAGAAGTCTATTATCGGGTGATAGTTGTAATTTACTCGTCTAGGCGGTTCTTGGTACTCTTCGTCGAAATTACCGCTCTGCAACCTTGTCGTTCCGTCCAATCCTTGGTCAAATTGCGTACTGAAACTTAAAGTAAAAAGTGGCCATGATCAATTATGCCTCCATAACTAAATAATAAAAATAAAATAGACATATTAAATATTTCATTTATATTTCCTAGCTTCAAGTGCTCATTTGCTGGATGTGTAAGTTAAATACATTTTGGATGGATGCATGGACAGATTTTTCTTTTCACGGAAGACAATACCCCTTACAATGACATTTTCATTCCCCTTCAAATCTATGAAAGATATTCAGGTGTCCAATTTTAAGTAGGCCATTCTGTCCATTCTCTATCCATCAAAGTGTTGGCTAACAATGCTTCGTATATCAACATTACCGACGAGAATTAGACAATGTGTTCAGCCGCCAGATATTGATCAACTCATTGTTACTTACGTTCGTCTACTTTTTGCTGGGCACCGGTACCTTTCCTTCGACCTACTGATGCAAATGCTTAATGAAGCCAATTACAGACAAAGTTGACTCACCGATCAGTCAAGGTTGAATTCCGGGAGGTCCCATGATACTCAACATGGGAAGTGGACTCCCTTCTGTAAGGCCTATTGGGTCTATTTGGCCTAGGAGCCTTCAACAATGGTCCTCCCGTGTACCCTGGTGCTCTGGTGTTTGGTGCATGTTGTTGAGGTAGCTTATCATATGGTCGGGGAACTGGCGCTGGTTTTTTGGGCCTGACTCTTCCAGACGTGGAGTAAGTCGGCCGATTAACTGTGGCATCCAACACTGGCTTTTTGTTCTTTGTTGTATGGACATTGGACGCTTCGCTAAGATCATTTAAGTACGAAGTCGGGGAGCTGTCGTGGTGACCATGACCAGCACCAAACGATGAATCGTAGTTGATGTGATGCGTGTATTTGTTAACGTAGTTTGTAGGTTTGCCATACGGCCCAAGATCTTCGTTGTTATCTTCTGTTGCGAAATCAACCCCAGGGAAGGATTCCTTTGGCTTGGGTGGCGGATCCTTTTGATGCGGTGGATAGATTTCGGTGTATCCGTGGACGTGACAACTGCAACAGGTTGGCACCTTGAATATGTCCATGTGCAAACCTAGCTTGGAATCCCAGGTGAGAAGTCGATGGTAGTTGTACACCTGGACACACGATGAACGGTAATTCTCGGAGATGAAGGAACAGCTCGTGTGCGGATTTCTGAAAGCAGAAGCCAAGAGGAAGATCCTACTTCACATCGGGATATCGCCAGTTCAATTTCACGCTTTTCTCCACCTTAGGGAAAGTAGACATTGTCGCTTATCCCGATTTTGTAGTTAAAAGCAATTGCATGTGACATTTCGTAAGCGTGTAATCCAACTAATGAGAAAAGAGAGTCCTCTCGCAAAGGAAAGTCTTCGTGGAAGGATCAGCAGGGAACGTGCATTAAAATCAACTCCACAAAAATACTTTCCCTGGACCTAACATACTATTCGCAGTAACATAATCCCAACATCAGCACTGTCGCTTGAACATTCAATTAAACATGATTTTTTGGCTATGAAGATTAGAAAACTAAGGAGAATGGACGGTGAAATTAATTCCCAAGACGCGTTTAATTAAAACGAGGAGTGCGATGGAATTACAAAACTCGGAAAGCTCTTAAGCGCTCGTCTGTACATTTTTCTAACGGCGACTTTTACGATTAATTAACTGCAAAGGACCAATGAATATTGATTGCTCAATGCACATTGGAACAGCTCTCGCGAGTGAACTTTCCCTACCCCAGAATTATTTTCTAATAAATTAAGATTTCCAACAATTTCAAGCGTTGACTCTCTTCGACTGGGATACCTAGAAGGTTTTTTTCAAAATGAAATCAATTATCTCTAGTCATGCAAACATTGTTTCCTTGTCGAATTGCCGCTTCGCGAGGACGCCGAAATATTGCTTCATGGGGAATTCTTCGGTGGTTCGCAAAAGGGTTTACGTAAGTGAAAAGTTAGCGAAAGAACATCTTGACTTCTTGCCAATTTGACAGGTCATGCGTGTCATTGTTCGAGACGTCTCTAACGTAGTTTGTTAATATCAGCGACGGGCTGGATTTTTTATCAACATTTTCGGCCATCCTTATCCTTGTCAGAAGCTGCAACGCCAGAGTTCAGTGAACTTTTTCATCGAGGAATAACTTCGGCGTTAGTTATTTTTCCACCATCAACGAAGAACCAGTAAAATGGCAAGAAAGGACGACCTGGACAATTACTATTGTATTTCTTCCGTCGTAATTGCCGTTTTTCTCTTTAGGTCGGTCGAATGACATCAGTCAATTGTTTAATGGCTCCACCGGAAGGAATGCCGGAAATTGCCGATGAAGTTTGGTATTATAGGTACTAGGCTATTTCCCTTTTAAACTAACCCTGTAAAATTGTTTTTGGGTAAACGGTTGATGTATAATGGGCCTAAAACTAAACGTGCAATTAGCGATACAAAAATCTATATCTTAATGCATCCTGTCGTGAAATTGAAAGTGCTGGGTAACTTATTGTAAGTGCTGGTAAGTTATCAGTCCGGAAGTGCACGCTTTTAAGAAAATGTTCAAATAAGGGTATTCTAAAGTAAATTAGGTAATTGTCACTCGGGTCAATTACTTTTAAACATTTTTCGTTTTAGAAAATATTGGTACTGCGCATTCGAAATTTCTCAATTGAAAACGATTAATGTAGTGATTAAGTAGTTTCAGTCCTAATTAAAAGTAGTACCTTGAAAACTCAAGTTTGGGGAATAACAAACGATAACCCATTTTGTTTCCCATTAGAGGTACGATCTCTAGATACAATCACTATACTACTTGAAATCTATTTATGGATCCCAAAGTACTTGAGAAAGTCCGCTATTTACGGACTTTCTCATCTCTCAGGGATCTGTCGTGGTATTGAGAATCTTGAAAAAAACTATCTCTGTTGCACGCGAAGAATATTCAGACAATTTTTAGACCCGATCCCACCCACGTGGGCGAAAGTTAAATGCGACAAGAAACTATGAAGATATCCTTGACTTTCAGTTTTTAAAGAACAGGCCCACTTTCAAGGGTTTTGCTTTGAAAGTCGGCGAAGTATTGGCACGTTTTTCTTTTTTTTCTATGCAAGCGAGAAACCATTATCCATGTTGAAAGTTCTTTGTCTTATGCGGTCGACACAGAGTATTGAGGTTTACCGATACAATTTGTTATTGCGTGTAATTGTATATTTCATTCAATTGTAGATGAAACCACATACGTGGTATTAAATTTCAGCTAGAAATGTCGGTCACCGAATAAAAGATATAATTTCATCTGCAGTTGTAACAAAGTGATAATGTTATCTGATATTAGAAAAATTAATTGAATGAGCCGAATCGGAATAAGGTAAATCAGAGAGAATTGTTTGGTGATCACGTGCAAATTTGGTTGAATAAAAATTCCAATGGCGATTCTGGACATTTCATCTTAATGGGTCTATCCCGAGATTGATTGCAATTTTAATACGTGGTTCAATTTTTTAGTTTCAGACATTTAATGATCGTTACGCGATTTCACTTGCATTTATAGTAGCTGGAATACTTTCCTGTCGCAGTAATTTCGTCGAGCCCCAGTCACTAAATATAACATTAAAGTGGATTTATTAATTGCCACAATTTTTCTATGATTTCTCGTAGACTCCGTTTCCTTACCTTCTAGTTATTTAAAAGAATCTAAAAGAGGGTCAAGTAAGGTCGAGAAAAATCCTCGAGATATTACCTTCCTTAAATTGACTGACCGCCAATATTCCACAAATGACAAAATATACGGATCCGATTTATAGTAGTAAAAATTATCTGACATTGCAGGAGAGTTTCAGGATTATTAAATGTTCAATTGGTTGATTATTAAAATTGATTATTAAAAGTCCTGAATATCCTGCTTCGTATCCATTTTAGACCAGAGAAACGTACAACCCTTTAGGGCATTTCGATCGGTATCTTTACATAGTATCATACCTCACGTTAGCAATTGTCATTTTCAATCCGACAGTCGAAACGATTGGTGTTTTGAATTTAAACAATTTTAGCAAGCTGTATTGTCAGCTAAAAACATTGCTCACAGGAGTCTGAAATTTCATGAAGCGAAAAAGCGACTTGTGAAATCGTTGATCGCCCGGGCACCGCCAGCCTAATAAAACTAAATGCGAAAACATTAACGCTGTGCACGATGAATAACTGCTTTCTTGCAACAAAGTTGGCGCATTCATCGAATAATGATCCGCACTCGCGACAGACATCGTCTGTAAGGGAACGAAACTGATCAATAGCATGATCAGCATGACTTTCAGTCATGCCATGTCCGAGTTGGAACTCCGCACTCCGAAATTAGGTAACTCACGCAAGAACTTTCAGTCGGCCTCTTTTTCTCTTCCTTCGAGCAGGGCGATTTTATTTAAAAATGATAAAAATGCCCGCGTGCCGTTCGGCAGATATTTTATTGCATTTTATGTCCCCTTTCTTAGCGTCATCGCGCGATTGATAAAATATATACGGCATTAACGCAGAAAATATTAGAGTCTAAAATACCCGGCATTTAAAAAAATTGACAACCTTTTTCCTGTATTTTTATAAGTTTCTCTTATGTGAATAATTGCATTGGCGTTTATATTCGTGAACATTTGTCACAGCACGTCACGTTTAACCCTGTCAAAGTATTTCCGTCCACTATTTTCAAAAATATTTCCCACCTTCTATGTTATGTCTAGATTATTATATTTTTATCTTCCAACGTAAACTCGTAAACTTTTACAAAGTAATGACTTTCCATTGAATGAGTAGCGAAACATCTCGCCACAATTTGTTCATCCCAGCGCATGTTGCACTATCATTACTCTACCACTAGTTAGAAACATCACTTTCAAAATCCAGACGTCAAATGTAAAAATAGTTGAGCGCCATTCGCGTTTAAAATTTAATTTATCACCGTGCCTCCAGTGTTCGGGATATCAGTAAAATAGGTAATAAACTTCACAGTCGCATTCACTCATAAGTGATTTTAAATAGAATGTCTACGTCATTAGTTTCAGCATTAACATTTTATTTCTTTTTGCGAAGCCGACATTCTCTTCCTGCCTATATTTCGTCCTGCTTGGAGTACGTTACGAATCTGCTAATTACCACTACCTAGTTGATTGCATTCTCCTAGAATACTTTTTGTGAGCGAGAGAAAGGTGTCTGTCAACATGAACGAAAGTCAACTTGAATTTAACCGGATATCATTATCGGGATAGGTTCACTTTTTAATAAGCCACGTACATAACAATCTGTACATTGCAATTCAGTAATTAATAAAAAATATGCAAAATCTAGGCAGAAAGAGATGAATATTATTAGAACATTTGGATCATGAACAACAATAATGTACGAGCATATCACTATCGATATGGATTTGATACCATTACTGACACGAACATTTCCGCGTTGCGGAAGAAGGTTTTTATCTTCTGTTTAGATAAGAACTTTCTTCCTTAACACGGCTGAATAAATATTAATCGTGATAATCTCCTGAACGAACAATTAGAAACAGAACATCGAGTCGGAAGAGAGTGGAAGGAACTGAAATAATGTTAATCCATCCGCTGCATTGTCCTTATTTTATTATGCCTCGTTATACGGCATCGCCTGTGCAGGACGGGAGGGCATTGATGTCTCCCAGTGTATACATTACTATTTCTGTATCTATCCACATTACAAGGACAATGTGCCTCTTGTACACTTCGATAACGTTCTTCCATCGAACAGGTGCAGCCTCGTTATACGGCATCGCCTGTGCAGGACGGGAGGGCATTGATGTCTCCCAGTGTAGACATTACTATTTCTGTTTCTATCCACATTACAAGGACAATGTGCCTCTTGTACACTTCGATAACGTTCTTCCATCGAACAGGTGCAGCTCCGGGACGAAAGGGGCCAATGACTCGTCAATCGTTACGGGTCATCAATTTTCCTTTCGGATATTTTTTCGTAGATAAGCAACGCCGTCATTTCGCGACGTCGCCGTCGAGGGAATGGCGGGAGGCGACGTAGACGTGAAATTAGAAATTTAGAGTTTCGAGGTATCCGCAGGAATAAGGAAGCGTCGTTTCGCTGGTGTAATTGTTCGCTCGTAAGGCGCCGTAAACGGAAGGAAACAATTCTTCCTTACTTTCTGGTGGAGTACGCTTAAGGCGATATCCGCCAGCGAGACTTTTTAATGCCGTTAAATCCGGATAGGCTGATCATTAACCGCGATTCATTGGCTCGAACGATTTGAAATTCCTTTATGTTAGGTGGTATTCATTTATCTCTTGGTTTATATCGGCGCCGTTGACTTTCGCCGTTTTCATCCCTTTAAAAAGATTTCATCTTTTTAGGACCAGTAGTTTGAGCTGGACGTTGTTCATCTCTAAGTCAGAGAGTCATTTAGGATTTTATATATTAAAATTACAATGAAATTAGAAAGTCGCAATAAAGATGAAACTTGGGTACTTAATTCCCCCTTTTCAAGTTACCAGATGTTTGCTTTATACTTTCATAAAACAGGGTTAACAAAAATCACCTCTACAATTTGTAGTACTTTTTTCGTATTGGAACGTTCTTTATGTCCAAGATTATGAATAAACGTCGTGAATTGCACGGATTTACATTTTTTTATATAAAATTCCTGCCACGTCGTCTCGGAATCAATTTACCTCACCGACAGTAATTTTCAGTTATTTACACCGTGGGGTGTACAATTTATTCAAGGTAGCCTGAAATTTTAGCCAAAGCCAATGGGACCTGTTTTTATGAGAGAATTTTTTAACACTTGGTAAAAGGAAGAAAGCGGTTGAGTAACATTACAAAATTACGGAGTGTATTACAGATACAACCGGTAACTTAAATCTGCCTCGAAGAACTCGAAGGAAACCCGAAGGAAGGAGAAACCTCCTTTACGGGTTACTAGGTATTAACAGAAATCGTTTCTCGGTACATTGGAGTACCGGATTCTACGAGAAGCTGAAAGTCAATGACTTTTCGACTTCTTGAACGAATGCTTCGCCGTGTCCAATTCTTACTACTCACGGAAGATGTAAAATCTGAAACTAATCTCTGATACCAATCATACCAAAAAGTGAAAATATTTATAAAACTTCTCTCCAAATTGGGTGCACCGAATCAATTGAAACTTCATCGCGTGATCGTGGAGGCGCTAAGAAAGAACGCAGTGCTCGTGAAATTTCATTTTTCGAAAAAGGCAAAAGAAAAAAACGTGTATTTATTTCGAACAAGAACCAAAGAAAGGAATTTTTTTTTTGTTCGAAACATGAAATTTCACGAACATCGCGATCTTCCTTAATGATCTCGTGATGATGTTTCAAATGATTCGGTGCACCCAGTTTGGCGATAAGTTTTATCAATATTTTCAAATTTGATATGTATAGAATGACCCTTTTATATCGCCTTAAAAGTACCTTCTAAAAATGGAGGAAGACTTGACTCGTACCCCTTCTACATGACGATAGCAAGTCTTTCGTATCACCTTGATAATGATAAAGGCGTATCGCCTTAATAATGATAATGACGTATCACCTTGATAATGATAAATCAGGGAAGGAGATCAAAAGGCTGCCGAATTTCTTTGCAGATAATTAAGTGTCTTCGGATGTACTTACGAGCATTTCTCCAGTCGCAATGTCTGCGTATGTTCGCCGGTGTTAATGATGTATTTCCACACACCTGATGCAGCTCTGGCTAATTGGGGACGGGCATACTTCACCTGGGACGGACAGGTGAAACCTTCCTCGACGTTTTCGAGCGTCGAAAGATCGTATTTCCTTAAAAAACCAACGAAAGTCTGTTAATACACAAGAAGTACTCTACATGGATTTGCACAATTCACCTTGACTTTGAAACGTTACGCAATCAATGAATTGATGAATTACTATTATGAAAATTGAATATAAAATGAAATTTTGGTACTAGATTTGCACAATGAACTGGTACGTGACAATTGAAATTGTACTCCTACACAAAAATCATCCTACAGCATGTAAAGTATTATCAAAGCATTTTTTTGTGACGAATTAATTGTGTATATCTAATCTGCCAAACTATCAAATTTTATTAGTAAATTTACACACCAGGTTGATACATGGCGTTATAAATTGAATTGCTGGGTAAAATAATTGGCAGAAAGTCATCTTGTCAGATTTTAAAGATAGGTAATAAAAAAATTTGAGAAGTCGACTCGATTTGCCTGATTTTCTAATCTGTGATTATTAAATTTGAGAATCAATGAGCAGCATTCAAAACTGAACAGTTGTATAGAATGATTTGCTAGACGTGATCTTGCCAACCAGTATAGAGTATAGTGTTTACACTGTGTGGCACAGAAAAAGTTTACACACAAAAAGTTGCCAGTTAGTCAGTAGAGTAAGATGACAAGTCGGCTGGGTAAACCCGATTTGCCATGGTAAGAAATTTGGACATGGACCGAATGCTATTCTTCCCCCTGTAGTTAACCGTGTAGTTGACACAGCAATTACCATGGTTAATTAGCTGCGAAACTCGGCTGTCCTTACGTTAGCACCGAAAATCGGTAACTGTGCGGTAAATAATTTCCGCTATTGCAGCAGGTTTTCTTGCCCAACTGTTACGTAAATTATTTCGATGAGTTATCTAAATCAGTGCTCGGTTTTATTACCACTTCGTTTGCCAGGACAATGGATTATTGCCCGATCTGGAAATCGCAAAATGTCGAAATCCTTTAAAAATTAAATGACGCATAAACGTAATCGATCTGTGACGCGAAACGTTATACATTGCTCAAAAGAGCAGTAATTTTTTCTAACTAAATGGCAACATAGAATAACATGAAATGTTGTTTAATATTTCATGGGTATTAATTGAAAATATATCTGGGATGATATAAATAGTCAACGTCAAGTCGAGTCCATTGCTAGTTTTCATGAATTTGTGAGTTACAAAAATCCACTGAAAGTTTAATTAACCTTTTGAGCTCATAGGGCCACAAGTTAATTATCTCTTCTTGGTGGTACATATAAAAAGGTTATTAAGACCCGACTTAAGACTTTTATGACAGTTTTACCATAAAGTTGTGTTAATGAAAAAACAAGGGTGATATAGACTCAAGAGTACCCCATAAATTATTATTTTACTTGGTCTATAAATACTTGCTGTTATGTAAATTTGGTTCTTATATCCACACAGTTCACATTTTCTCTATACTTTTACTAAATATTGCAATCCGAACGTGCGAACCGTGCAATATTGCAGAATTTCAGAAGGGAGATAACTAAAACTAAGTAAACCCTGTCTCGTCCGTTTTTCGTCTCGTTTCTCTCATTGCAATAATGTTGCACAATAATCATGTCTAACATCTAGAAATTATGCAAAAACAAATACTTCCGATCAAAGTCAGATTTAGGGCTTTGAATATCTAAGGTAACAGTTCAATATGATATGATGATATAATATGTAAATATTTGTCAAATCAGTAAGTAAATAATGCAATATAAAAAGGATAATATTAGATTTATCAATCTTAGAAAAAAAAAACAATTGATTTCCTAATTTCAATTTCAAATGCGTTCAGTATTTAAAGATATAAAAATTCCAGTATGGTGATATATTGAATAGACAATACAAATATCTGTATTACCTATACATTATAGAGAACGTTCTATACGTGGCCCCTTGTTGCCGATGACCCGCCTTACTCGGGAGTAGAACGGTACACCTACTCTTAAGGGGCATTAATAGAAAGTCCGCATTCCTATTGATAATTGCATTGCATTTATAAGAACGTTTTTAAGGGAACCAAATGACATAAACGGTAGCCGATTGCACACCATTTGTATCTTACGTAGCTCGTGCAGTAGCTAATTATTCTTTCTAGTTATTATGATATAAATGGCAGTTTTCCCAAGTTACCGTTTAATTTCGTTGCTCTCATATCGGTTTTCATATCTGCTTTCTTGCTGCAAAGCGGGCGGTAATTCGTCATCAAGTATTCCGGAGTCTTGCACCTTGTAATCCGCCAAAAGTGCAGCAACCATCTCCTTGTTGCTCCGAATGCTCCTCAGGATGAATTCACTGTAACGAAACAATGCTTGCAACAGTGCTGGCATTCTTCTGTACACACAATGGTCTGAAGTTCCGTAATTATATGCTGGGTTTCCTTCTTACTAAATCCTTGCTTCACTTACAATACCTTCATTCATGACCAAGAGCTAAATTTGGGTCAGTAAATTGCACAGGCGGTGCATTCTAGGTGTTCGAGGTAAGATTAGACCGGGCTCGACATTCTACAATACTTTGAATTGATTTCAAAGTTTAATTAATATAAGTAATGCATAGATAAGTAATGGTACAGTGGGCACAAGAGTAAAATGGTAAAATCGGGGTATTTATACCTTGAGAAAAAAATCTCATTGAACCAATAACCAATCGATAACTTCTTAGGAGTTCCTCCAAAAAGCAATAATCAAAGATAAATATCTTTGTCCAAGGCTTTCGTATACCAAAGGTGTACACGCTGTATATGATTAATATCAAAATTATTTAATAACTTTTTTTCCGTATAGGATATACTTACTGAGGATAGTCCACAGCCTCCAAGCAAACAGTTTTCGAAAAGAAAGTGCATTCCTTTTCAGTTGGAGTTCGTTTAGGATCAGCTGGTCTCCTGATTGGCCTATTTCCGGATGGTCGTGACGTTTCTGAAACCGATTAAATGTGAATTAAAATTTCTAACACCTCAGATGAAATGTTTTAAGTCAATGTTATGTCTGCAGAGAATCACAGTTCTAATTAGCTAGTCATATACAGAGTGTTGGATATTAATTCCATAATCATATTAAAAGAATCTCTATTTTAATTTATAACCACCTTTACGCCATTTTATTGAGGAAATTTTATCATGAACTTATGAAAGGGAATGTCATTCTGAAAGACGAGGTTCACTCATGAGACACTTATACTCATTTACACACCCATAAATTGATCTTTCTGGAATTAATTACGATACTCTAAGTGGGAAGCATTGAAAGCATACCTCCGTAAACGTTTCTTCTATTCGATGATGCTCTTCTAGGTGGAGGTCGGTAATAAATTCGTCTTCTCTTCCCAGGCCTTCTCAGTTCTTGAGCCTGAAATATTAAATACGAGATCAAATTAATAAAACCTGACAAAGTTTATACAAGTCTTTAAAACGACATTAAAGTCAAATGATACATAATGCATCAATAGGAGATTATACCATTTATTAATGTAATATTAATGACAATTATGACGTTCGTTTAAGAGGTAATTCAGTAACAATCGTAAGAATTTCGAATTTTCATTGGCGTACAAAGGTGAAATATGTACAAATTATATTTCATTAAACAGACCGCATGTACAATGACGCACGTGCAGTAAACATTATATGGCAGTCCATATTATAATTTCCATTAACGTATATTAGAATGGTATATAGGCTCATTTGGTAAGTTAAGAAAGTGGTTGGGTTGGATGTACCGATTTACATAATTGTTTTGACATGGAGCATTATAAAAGTTGTATTTCTTTTATACCTAAATTGTGTAATAATGCGATTTAATAGACACTTCAGGAACCTCCCAGCAAGTGAAGAAATTTCGCGATATCGGCAATCGCTCCGCAAAGAAACACCTATCTTACTTTCCAACAATAGTTTCGCAAGTTGCAACTCGGTAGGCAAAAATCGCCAAGCACCAATTTTACGCTAGCTGAATTCTGGGGAAATTAAACATTATATGCCACGTGCTTTGTGGTAGACTTAGAATTTAGGTATAACCTTGCAATACCTTCGCCGTTTGTAATTGTTATTGGGGGCTTACCGTGACGAATTACAATTAGAAATGTGACTGCAATTCGCTTTCGGTAACGTGAGAAACATAAGACATTGATCAAATGCACTCAATCGGGTCATTGATACCCCAATCCATTAACCAATTGATCAATGACAAGACCTTGTAAACCTTCCTGTCGTTTGACATAAACACTGCTTTCTCTTTACAAATGCATAATGGTAATTCCTGTTAAATTGCCATTTTTTACGTCTCAAGCGTCCTTTTAGCGTCTCAAACATATCCATCGGTTTTCATTGACAAGGAATGCTACGTCTGATTACACTAAACATTATTCTAATGAACAATTTCTAGTGTCATTTTGTAGTCTAGTCGGATTGTAAAATAAAGATTGGACTATCTGGCCGCGTTTTCTAAAACGATTAGACAATATACGAAAAGTTGGATTTTACAATGTGGGTATATAAACAAATTTCTTTGCTTTGGATGAAAGGGACAAGATTAGTGGCAACGCAATTGTTTTATTCAACGGAGTAATAGTCAATTGGATTTTTTCTTGATGTGACTGCTCCGAAATTTCCACTAGATGAATTTCACCCATTATATTTCTGGATACATTATCTATTCCTGAGAGATTCATCATGCCTTCTATTTGGCGATTACTAAGTCTACCTAATAACGTAAGGAATTTAATAATGTAAGGTATATGCATCTATCTAATAACGTAAATTAAGGTATATTTACTTCTGGCAGCTCTTCAGGTGTGTCATCTGTAATGATTTTGGCAATATCGGCGTCGATGGGCAGCATGAGTTCTCTAGTTGCATTTTCCCTGCTATTGTTAGACCCCAACAATGGCTCGACATCTTCAAGTAATGGAGTGATTGTCACATTGTTGGATATTCTCGAAGATATCAAACTGCCCATTAAACGTCTTTGAGGCCGTGACGTGTTCCGTATTACTGGAACAACCTCGCTGATCTGATTACGTTTCTCTTTTGTCCTTATAATCTGTAAGAAAGCCGGTAATTAATGATTTCATGTCTTAACATGGAGTTGAGGGGTTAATCGAAAGCAAGAAGTGCACATTGATTAAGAAAGATTAATCCTAATGACCACATTGTCCGACGCTGGGGTACCAACGAAATGTAGGAATCTAGATTAATTACAATTTAAGATTTTTCATCAATTTGCAGTCACTTACGGATGTTACTTCTTGAGTATCGTCCGTCTTGTTCTTTGCGGCATCTTCTTCGATTTTCAACGACGCTGATATTTGTTCATGCGAGCTATCATCTTCTTCGAAATCCAGTTCGTCCGGATTATCTTCTGTCCTCGCATGAGATGTTCCTGAAGCCAGTAAACTGGCTGCCTAGAAATAAAAAAGACGATTTATGGCATGTAAATGTTTACATGCTTCTTCTTATTTGAACGCTCGGAAACCAGTTTAGCTACGTTCGAGCGGTACGAATTTTAATAAATAAATTGCCCTGCTTAACTTTTTCATCCCAGAAAAGCCTCCATTTGAGAATAAAACTGACGATGCCGCTCTTTCATCCCTTCTTAATGTCATTAAACACATTTCACCTGAGATGATCAGTCGGATTAAATTTAGACGGAGCAAAAATAGAAATAAACGTGTGCAGTACATTCACAAGTGATTTTATACCCATCATGCACCATGAATGATACTTAGTAAAGTACGCTCGCGGGTAAATACTATATGTGTAGATGTTGATTAGCAGGAAATAAAAATTGATAGTGACCTATCTAGCACCTCTGATGTTGTATTTCGTGACGTCTGATACAATCAGAAAGTAACTTTCTCAGCTTTGAACACGATTCTACAACCAGTTTGGATCATGTCCCATTACTATCCGTCACTCAACAGAAATTTCTGAATAGTGGACAACTAATTATACTTGACAGTGATTAACGTTTGCGGAATGATTTATTGTGGCCGTCAATTTTATGTGTGAAATATGTGGATCAATATTCCACTCTGCAGTAATATCGAGTTGAGTACTTCTCAATGTTAAAGTGTTATGAAAGGGTCATTTTATATATATATATATATATGACCCTTTAATATCACCTTAATTTTATCAATTATTTGTAGCATTAAAAACATCATAGGTATATGATTTATTACTAGGACCCGTTTTAATATTCCCCACGTGATGCAGATGATACTTCTAACGAGAGATGCAACAAATTGTGGTACCTGTATCCTAACTTTCTCTAAATTGTTTCTTTTCAAATGGCATTATTTAATGGCACTCAAGTAATTATAAGTTTGGCCGTGTAAACATAATTTTATAAATCATTTAGGGGAAATTTAAAGCCTCCATTGAATTGACGTAGTTTTACTAGTCCAATTAGATATTACACGCTCTGTAAACGGAAAAGTAAAATAAGCACCGACGATCGTAAATGTGTTTCTCTTGAGAAATCCAGGTTTCTTTTATTAACGGTGAGTTCTCTAAATATACAGTTAGAAACTAGGTCCTGAACGATTGGAAGTGGTAACGGGTTTGCATAAAGACGCAACTTTGTAGCAAGTCGATGTTTATTTTGTATTTTACCGGGACGAAATTTTTACGAAAAAATGTATAGCTTTCATGGGAAGCAGAAATACGTATACGTGACGTCTTTATATATCTCAACCACCTCTGTACTTTGAATGCCTCCTCTGCAGATACGGCATCGCCTGTGCAGGTTGGGAGGGCATTGATGTCTCCCAGTGTACCCTCACGGACTCGGAGAAAATCACTTATCTTGACAGCAATTCATCGAAGAATACTTTTCAGGTTATCTTTTTAGACTGCCCAAGTTAGTTTCACAACACCGCATTCTAATGTGCGACTTAACGGTACTGGCGACTTAAAAAGTAATAATTTACTAGCGCCTTCTAAACGTTGCAGTGGACGTAAATCAACGACCTAGTAATCTAGCTTTCTACTTGAAAATGAAAGTATATCAAGTTGATCTCGGGCGGTCCTGTATACCAATGTAAACAATTTCATAGATGCTAAATGCGTCTTAAAGCGGCAGTAAAATGGAAACCCGCGTTGCACCGATGATAGCGTTCGCCATTTGCAGCGCTGACCCACTAACTGATAAACAGATTTCACTGGATTCTACCTCGTGTTCTGAGGTTCCCCGGAGCCTAGACTGGAGATGTATCAGGATTCGATTCCGCGTTAATTATGCTGGCATACCATTAATTCGGTACGGCATGCCCTATCGAATTATTCCGGGAAAGAGAGAGAAATCCAACTCTATCGGACGAGCTTCACTTTCTTATCCCATTTCACGCTCCGTTTCCAGCCTCAAGTAAATCCTAAGACATCAAAATCTATCGAACTTTATCTATCGACGTAGTAATGGTATCATTTGGATTTAATCAAGCGACAAATAATTTAAAAAAATCCTCGAAGACATGAAAATCTACCGAACATTACCTATCAACGCAGTAAAAGTATCATTTGGATTTAATCAAGCGACAAATAATTTAAAAAAAATCCTCGAAGGCATTAAAACCTAATGTGTAATATGCGTGAATAACATTTCACTGGTATGTAACGGCTTGTTAAATATTTTTACAAAAATTAGTTGTGTGATTGAAATATTTGCGTAAGATTCGGTCGTAATGATTTCTTTGATTACGACAACATTCGCATGTTTCCAAATGCACGTAGGATAGCAATTCAACCAAAAGCGTGCCATTAATTAAAATAGTTATTATAGTTACGATTGTAAATGTAAGATGTTATTTATAATGTGCCAGTTGAATTTGATTCCAGTTTTTAAGTATGCCACTCTACGGAATTTAATTTTCAAATTAAACGAATGAACTCTTCCCGAAGGTTTTCATTTCCAGGAAAGTGACTTGTTATTCAGAGGAACATTTATGGTCAATAAGGTTTTTGCCAACGTCACCTGATAATCCAAGAAGCTTTCTCTTAGTTCTCGCGTGTATTAACCCTTTTCCTCTTCCGCGGAAAATATTATTACAGGTATTCACAGCACGTTACCTACTTCTGTGCTTCAAGTTTTTCATATAGGGAGAGTACTTTTTTACAATTCAAATTCTGGCTACGTGTACAGTCGGTCTACATATTCTGCCTGCTACCATCGCTTTAAAAAAGTCAACTACTTCCATTATATTTTTCATTTCTGTGCATATTAAACCCTGTGAAATGTGGGACGCCACTCGACCCGTGACTTATGTCAAATTAATGTTTCATTAAGCGTTTCGTCACGAACAATGTCTCCGTAGCTTCTAGAGATAGCTCTGTACCTTTACTTTCTAATCCACGTCTACGTATCTAAAACGAGATCAACTGAGCGAATTCATCCGTTTGTCGCAACAAAACGACGCAACATTCTGGTCCTGGTCTAGGCTAAGTTAAACAAATTTGTTTCAAAAATTTATTTGAGAGGAGTTCCCCTGCACCTTAACGCCATGCTTAGCCAATGCATAGTTCCACCACCATCCTTACCAACAACGCGAAGAAGATCATCGTTTTCCCCATGGCTCTGATTTTTGGTACCCTTCAATAATTGTATATCGCTCGAAATATGAGAATGCGACGCCATTTTGATTCTAGTCTAGGCTAAGTTAAACAAATTTGTTTGAAAAACATATTTGAGAGGAGTTCCCCTGCACCTTAACGCCATGCTTAGCCAATGCATAGTTCCACCACCATCCTTACCACCAGCACGAAGAAGATCGTCGTTTTCCCCATGGCTCTGATTTTTGGTACCCTTCAATAATTGTATATCGCTCGAAATATAAGAACTCGACGCCATTTTGGCTCTGGTCTAGGCTAAGTTAAACAAATATGTTTGAAAAACATATTTGAGAGGAGTTCCCCTGCACCTTAACGCCATGCTTAGCCAATGCGTAGTTCCACCATCATCCTTACCACCAGCACGAAGAAGATCATCGTTTTCCCCATGGCTCTGATTTTTGGTACCCTCCACCCCTGTTGATCGAAGAAGCAGAAGATCCTCGTGGAGGTCGTTCCTAGCTCGTCCAGGCTTCCGCGTCGATCCTGAAGATCTCGACGCCGGTCGTGGGCGCGTGTCACTCCTTGTCGCTCGGCGTCTGTTGGTCGCTCATCCTCCCGGATGAGAGTCGCTCGTCTCCTCGGCAGATAGTCTCCGACAAGTCGGGATCCGTAGGTGAAAAATCCCCAGTGGAGGCCACGCGCTCGAGTCTTCCCCGTCGCGAAATGTGCACGCACTCCGGACGACGACGGGCGGTGGAAGTGGCGATCCCAGCGGAGGTGGTGGAGGTGGTGCTGATGGCAAGTAGGAAGTGGGTCCTCGCGGGGATAAGGTAGGAACGGACGTCTTAGCCGCGTTCTCGTAGCCGTGACCGAGAAACCGAGGAGCTGGAGGGTTTGGGGCAGGCCTGCAGCCGGGTTCCTAACCATGTCGGATGGAGAGAGAACGGAGAGACAAGTCGGTCACTCGACGAGAGGTCGATCGAGAGTCGTTATTCGGGTCCGAGCCGGCACCATGCCAGCATCCGACGCGGCGGAAGCTGCGATCTTGGGTTCCTCTTCGATGTATTCCATGTCGATGACCAAGCTGTCCTTGGACTCCACACACAAATTTACAATCCGTGTCTTTGCCGCATCAATGATTGGACTGCTTGGACTTCTTGAGATGTTCAGGTGGAATAACATTTACTTACTAACGATCCGTACCTTTGTTCGTTCGAAGTGTTGCATCGACTTTACGATCTCGAGTTCGGATTTCGTGAGTCAAGTGCTTAGAGTTTCACGTTGGTCGGAGTTTTAGGTTGAAGTATGAAAAATTATTCACCTAATTGTACCGGAAGTTTATGGCCCGTGATTTTGATCAGACATTCTGGCTTCAATTTTATTCTTAATTATGAACCTTATTGCCTAGTAAAATGGATATTCTCAAGTGTGTGTAACATGTGCGTTAAGAAATGTTTCCAGTTCCTTGAAAAATCACTTTTAAATTAAATTTTGTTAATTAAGGTCCAGGACTTTGGTTAGGATAATTACCTTCAAATTTGTAATAACCTGAAATTAAATGGGTCGAAAGTATCACTATATCCATGCACAAGTAGAAGTACTTTTATCGAATTCAGAACAGAATGGACATTAGTTATCATAGACAATAATGTATATTTGTATTACTGAAACATACTTTTCAGATAATTTGGAACCTACCGGCATATTCGTATAATCAAAAATGAGTTACAGAGTCCGAAATAATAAATTGCATCGCTGCTAATCTACATCTGGATTTTGCGTTTTACGGCAGCAGTCCAAGTGTGAGTTCCACATGACCGATAATTGAAAAAATCATTGCGCTTATCGTAACGATCCAGTCTCTCTGCAGCATGATCAGCTCCCAGGAAGAAGGTGCGGGGTAAATATTCCCGGTATGTCCGTATCGAATCGGAGTTGCGGAGCCGCCTCGGCAGAAAAGAAAGGGTTGCACCCATCCAGCACCTGCAGCCCAGTTTGCGTTTTATTTCCCCAAGGAGTAAGACGATGGGATCGACGGACCGATCTCGGCATTCGTTGCCAAGGTGAAGCCGACAGGAAACCCCGCCGACCCTGGGGATTGGTTTACTCCGAGTCATCGCCTCCACCACGGCGGCGGCTTTAACGATTCCCTCCTAAAAAAGACACCTCGGAGCGATCCTTTCCTGGGTCGTCGTTTCCCGAGTGCATCGACTCGTTAGACTCGCTCGAGTCTGGCCGAGATGTTATGGTGCCTTAATCGGCTCGATTAACGTCATCCTTGGGTGCAGGGTTGCATCACTACTTTCTTCCTGGTGGAGCTGGAACCAGCGATAAATCTCCCAGGAAGCATTCGGTCGGCGTTTCTTTCTAGCCAGGTGCCAGGTGCTCGATGGAGCAGAGGGTGAAAGCGGCGAAACGACTTGCCGCCATGATCGAGCCTAAGTACCAGGTTTTTTCCACGCTGCACTTGAGAATACTTGCGGATACGAGCAGGTCTTTCGAGGCCCTCGAGATCGGACACGGAGAAAAAGGATGTGTTAAACTTACGGATACATCTGTAAAATGTACCGATTTTGTATGTAGAATTGTTGTATGTAGAATTTTTGTATGTAGAATACTTGCGGATACGAGCAGGTCTTTCGAGGCCCTCGAGATCGGACATGGAGAAAAAGAATCTGTTAAACTTACGGATACATCTGTAAAATGTATCAATTTTGTAAGTAGAATTTTTGTATGTAGAACACTTGCGGATACGAGCAGGTCTTTCGAGGCCCTCGAGATCGGACACGGAGAAAAAGGATCTGTTAAACTTACGGATACATCTGTAAAATGTATCGATTTTGTATATAGATTTTTTGTATGTAGAACACTTGCGGATACGAGCAGGTCTTTCGAGGCCCTCGAGATCGGACACGGAGAAAAAGGATGTGTTAAACTTACGGATACATCTGTAAAATGTATCGATTTTGTATGTAGATTTTTTGTATGTAGAACACTTGCGGATACGAGCAGGTCTTTCGAGGCCCTCGAGATCGGACACGGAGAAAGAGGATCTGTTAAACTTACGGATACATCTGTAAAATGTACCGACTTTGTAACATCGCTTGGGATTTCATTGCGGACAAGACAAAGGCACCTTAACGACAGTCCTTAATTCTAGCAACCGCGATAAATGGAACTCAGCTTCTTTATCGGTCGTAATCTGTTATCTAAACGAATTTACTGCGTCGCTTTGAATTCCATAGCGAGAATTTGCAAGGACTCAGGGTTCCGATCCAGTTACGTTTACGAGGATCCTAGCAATGTCGTGTCCCATCAGCTGGTGCCGAGGATAAAGGTTAAAGTCGATTGCGAACGGTAAGGAGCCCTCGGAGGCGATAAAATGAGAAGTTATCGCGTCCTCGGGCAGTTATACCTTCTCTCGCCTTCCGCCGACGCTTCTTCTTTGGTCTCTCTTCTCGAGTTGTAAACGATGGCTTACGGAAGAACGCACCGTTGAAGAATCGCAAGTACGCAGAGGAACTTGTTCCTAAGTGCGAAGACACTCGTGCGTTCCCTCCGATCCTCGGACCTTTCGGCTTTTATTTCTCGGCACGGCTTCCGCCTTGTAGCCAATTAATTTTACGTTACCTCGGTACGTCGGAGCTCCTTTATGGCCGTCGCGAAAGAGAATAGGTGCTCGTTTATCGTTCGATCGATTCATCGTAAGACCGGTATCGAGCTATCGGATTTATTATCGATCGCCTCTTTTAAGTTCCGCCGCTCCATTTGGGAGACTCCACCTTGTAAAGAAGTCAAGGTGCAATGAAACCTCTCTCGAATTACTCGATTCGCATAAGACACTTTTTTTAAGGATATTGGATCGTCGGAAATTTTGACACATGACTCGAGAGCACCTAGGAATTATCCTGACATCTTCCAAATTTGGATTTGTTTAACTTAGTCCAGACCAGAACCAAAATGGCGTCGCGCTCTCATATTTCGAGCGATATTCAATTATCGAAGTTCAATTTAGTTCTCTATAACTTGACCAATAGATACGATTTCTGCAATTCTCTCTTACGCGAAAGTAAAAAGTGATTATTCAGTCGTTTAGATTCTTTACAAAGAAAAGAAATGTTAAGGCTCTCATACTTGTATAGTCGCGGGATGTTAATGTAATATCGAGGTCACTTCCCCACGTGGCATTGTAAAAATTACCATACTTGTCGTGCCAATTCTCAGCGGGACACTGTATCATAAGAAACTGCGTTGATCTAAATTTTAAATTAAAAGTGTCTCTCATGGCCACGATTTAAATATCATAATTGCACTATTGTAGCATTAATGGGTTTACTCGGTCTACACGTCCATGTCTCACTGGTGTCGTTCGCTAAAATTGCCGTGAAATATTTTCACAAGTCCTCATGCCGGTTCATTTCAAGTTTACAATAGCTCCTTGGTTCATAGATTCACGTATCACGGTACCGAACCCTTCCTACATAATTTCAGAACCTCTTGAAAACCTAAAATATAAATAATCTTATCTAACAAAGCATCAGTTTCAAATCAGTAAATTCAGAACGGCTGAACTTCAATTCCGGTTACGTTCCAGTCCGCATGTCATGAAACGGAGTTCCGACAAAAAGTGTCTGTAAAAAAAAAAGAAAAGAAACAGCCATTTCTAATGCTAATTTAGTCGAAAGACGGTTTTCGCTCGTGGCGATTAAATTGCGCGAGGGGATTGGAAACTCTCTTCTTTTGGACAAAGTCCTCCTCGATGACCCAGTAGTTTCTCTTCTCGAGCCGCTCCAGTGAAAGATGTTCATCCGGGAGCTGGGGGAACCCCCGGAAGTTTTCTGGCCTATCCGAGGACAGTTCCGCAGGTAATTACCGCATTAATCACGATCGCTAGGCGATGGAGGCGTCGAGCCGGCCATTAACCCATTTGCAACATAAAGAAGAGGGTCCTTATCGCCAAATTTCAGGCTGAATGATAGTGACCAGTAAAATTGAGCGTATATATACACTATGGTGATAGTGACCAAGAAAACTGAGCGTATATATATATATATGCTACGGTGATAGTGACCAGGAAAACTGAGCGTATATACGCTAACGATGCAAATGGGTTAATACCGAAACGGAGACTTCATGGGCGCAAAGTGGGTCGAGTAATAACTTTTCCGTCGAAAGTCAAGTTCGAGGTCGGCGAGTACCCGACTCGAGATCTTAATTCAAGCAGGAATTGCCCGGTAAAGGTCCATAAGAGTTCCTCGTCGAGAGCCGCAAATGTCGCGAGGACGTTCAAGGCCGGATGTCCGGACCTTAACTGTTGCGAATATCGCGGATAACTTGGCACTATCTTACGAGGAGAGGAAGATTATACCTAAAGTCCGCCGTGGGAGGAGAAGAAATGAGCGAATGTCTGCGTAAATCAGAGATTCTTCTAGCTCCTCATTTCCCCGGAACAATGATCAGCCGCGACTGCCAGAAAGTTCGAAACTCGGTTCAGAGAGGACGCTTCGATCTCGAGGCCACTAATCTATGTTTGTTCGCCTTGTTTGCACTTTCTACTGACTCTTGTACAATAGCGGACATGAATGCCTCCCCTGCAGGTACGGCATCGCCTGTGCAGGGTGGGAGGGCATTGATGTCTCCCAGTTTACTGTCTACGGTTGAATGACGCGTTGTTTAACGCATGCGAAAATACTATAATATTACATATTGTATATAGATCAGTGATTGTTCGCCTTGTTTGCACTTTCTACTGACTCTTGTACAATAGCGGACATGAACGCCTCCCCTGCAGATACGGCATCGCCTGTGCAGGATGGGAGGGCATTGATGTCTCCCAGTGTACAATGGCGGACATAAATGCCTCCCCTGCAGATACGGCATCGCCTGTGCAGGATGGGAGGGCATTGATGTCTCCCAGTTTACTATCTACGGTTGAATGACGCGTTGTTTTAACGCATGCGAAAATACTATAATATTACATATGTGTATATAGATCAGTGCCTCGCGAAAAATCCTGATGATGAGGCGAGGCGAACTGAATGATAAACCTTATCAATCCACGTCGGCACGAATGGGCAATAATTGCAGCTCTCCTAAACGATCCTACAAAATGCGTTCGGCGCTTGCAGGTATTCCTGGATAGATACGGCTTTCTCGTGCCTGCGTTTCACCTACATATGGTCCTGGACAAAGAATACCATTTTCTCAAGTTACAATGAATTTACGCTTGTCGTATATCACAGTCGCCCGTGCATGCGAAGGTGCTTTAAGCGCCACTTGGCTGAGAGAGCAAATCCCGCGGTTTTAGTTTTACTTTTGATGTAATTAATGGCCAACTTCTCGTGAATAATACAACGCCAGGACCTGAGACGAGGTGGTGCACGTAATGCGTCATGGTAACGCGTCGCGAGCGTTAACCAAAGGATTCTTACGAATAATCCGCGAAATTCCACCGGAACAAATTGGCCCTCGCCGTCCGGCTTAATGTGCTCTGCGGACACTTACAAATTCTAGGGAGGCGTAATTAACATTCTTAAGGCAATCCCATTAACGCCGCGTCGTGTCGACTCAATTCCGGAGCGGATACGAAATTCTCGCTTCGTGGTTATTACGGTAATCACTCGTCGAATGAACTGTATCGCTCTAAGGTGATATGTGAGGGTCTGAGAGACATCGATGCCCTCCCATCCTGCACAGGCGATGCCGTATCTGCAGGGAAGGCATTCAGACTGTAGACTAGACTGTTCTTTAATAGAAGTTTCATCCTATTAGGCGAATATTCCTGTTAATTGTGAATTTATTATTTCCAACAGAAACATGAAATCGTAAATCTTTAACCCACCGGAATAATGAAGTCATCGATATTCCAATTTCAAGAAGCTTAATTTTATAAGGCTGCTTAATTGGAAGCAGTTCATTAACGGGTTCTGTATTCGCGCAACTTGTTTCGCTCTCAAAACTCTAATGGCTTCAAGGGTTTAAATTTACCAGCGAATGTAGGAACGGCAGTATTATATTACGCTTTTAATGTATTTCGATTTGTTAGAATCAAAGGGAACTCGCCGCGGACATGTTGGGATGCTAAAATTAAACCCCGTTTATATTAAATCCCGTATTAATGAATTTAATTAACGTACTCGAGCGCCGAGTCATGAGAAACGTGACGAAAGATCGCGATTCAATTTGCTTATAGGATTGCGGAATGCCCTCGATTATCCTTGAAGTATATTTGCATCTTTTAGCTCCGATGCTCGGGATATACTCCCCCAAGTATCCGCTCGTGATCTTGGCAGGATAAATTATCTTGATGATAGCGGCGAGATAAATGCGGTATGATGAATGATCGGCCAACTTGCTCACGTAGCATGTCAGGTGAGAATCATTTCTTCGAGATAACTGTAGCAAACTCAGCGATGATTCAGAAGCGCCTCCAGACTTAAAACCAAAGATTTGCATACAAGCATACGTGAGATTTATTCTATATCGGTCCGAAGAAACTGTTTAGCGAATAAAGTATTAATCAGTAGTCCTAATAAAGACATTACGATTTTGTAAAAGTTGTCAAATGTTCATAGGGATTCATATCGTAACTTTATATTTCCACGGAGTCATGTTTCTTGCGCACAGGTAACCCATACTTCAAGATAAGATAATATTTTTATATTATCCCATATTGCTTAACAATACATTTCATGAGGTTCATGGAAAAGAGTCGAAATAAAGAATCTGCAGTTTCTTAAGACATGTTAGTGATCCAATTATTTTCATGTTCTAGTGGACTTGCATCTTCGCATTGTTCACTTGTGATATACTGCATTCATTGTTTAGATGTAAATACTCGCATGAAAAGTTAATAGACTCACATCTGGAGCTGTTGAATTCTATTCTCGTTGTAAATCGAATCGTGTAACTGGCATGTGTATCTTACGTTCCCGGTTGTTATAGTTATAATGTGTAATAAATATTTATAGAAAATAAAATAATACATATTTCCAACTTTCAAGCTATACCGTAACGTCACCCTGTGTTACAAATTGCAGATGTAACCGTGCAATGTGAGACTATTACGAAATCAGTGCATATTAATTAAAATAATTTATGCTCGTAATTGTCCATAAAAAAAATGGTGCGTGTTGATAAGATTGATTTTGTCACGAATTTGTGAAAAACCTGTTAATGTCTATACAGTACTCCACACTACCTTGATATTTCCTTAAATTATGAATTATTTATATTCATATTTACTTAAAAAATAATTATTTATAGGACGCACATTATAAGGAATGCGCCAATTATTGCCATGTGAACTAGTCCCAGATATTGTTATGGTAATATTACCGGCCTATCCTAGAAACTGATTGATGCATTTAGTAAGAGAAGCTTCCTTTAAAAATGTGCTGAATCTTGGTTCTGTTTTTTATACAACGAAAATCGTCATATCGGTATCAGATTGTGCTTCGCTCGTAACCGATACGTACATGTGAAGAGTGTGTGAGACTCATTGAAGTGTGTATTGGTGAAACGAACTGCAACAATTGCGAAATATTAACCAACTGGTGACAATGGACGCGAGTCATTTCCGGAAGCCATTACAAATTTAAAGAACAACTCAGGCCCCGGAAACTTAAACTCTTTAATTGTCACATTACTTAGTTTATTTCACCGTTGAATATAACAGTCGATTTTTTAGCAATTCCTGTAACAATATTTATACCACAGATCCCAGATATTGCCAGTTTGCTAACTTTAAAGAAACAAGTGTCAACTTTTTATACCTATCTCTAGATGGATTATTCGTTTACCCCTTATAATATGCGGATGTTCATTGTTTATTTAATTAAGTAACGGAGCATTACAAATTAATTTGACAGGAATAAAAGATAATATATCTTAACATGGCAATTTTTGGCGAACCTACTTTAGTTCATACGTTAAAAGATACGGACGTTAGAAGGGAACAAACTCGCTGTTGGCAATGGGGAAATAGACAAGAATTAATATTAACACACAATAAAAATACAATAACATTTACTGTCAAAAAATGTCCTTAACACAATAACTGCCTCTAAGTACAGATTTTTGAGGTTGCGTGCGTGAAATACGACGGAATAATGGACGGAAGGATCTTTTTCAGGGAAGCGCAGGGATAGATATTATAGTGCGCCAAGAGTGTGCGTATGTGTATAAAAAGTATAATAAAAACTTAATAAAATATCAACTGACGAAAGTAGGGCTTTAATCGGTATTTCATTCGAGCCTGTGTATCATCAATAACAAATCACATATCAACTCTCAAATATCAAACCCGAATACAATGTTGCCTCATTAATATGAAAAACGAAGTGTTAGAGTGAACTTCCAAAGATATTGATATCGATATTATATCTCGGTACCAGTAACCTATCGATAAACCGATTTCCACCCCAAACGTGTCGGGAGACTAGAATGATTAAAAATAAAAACGTACACGAGGAAAAGAAAAAAGAACTTAGCGATACGTCCACCGCTCTATTCGCGATACTAAGTAATGCATAAACTTCCAACGTATCCTTTTCCTGGGGGTATTTTGATTGGTGGCCAGCGCGATTAATTACGTACCTACCCTATATTTACAAGATTTACGCGAAAAGTGGGCGCTAAAAGGGAGCGAAGGGTCGATGCCAGAGAACTAACAAGACAGAAAATGAAACGCCTCCAGGACGAACATCCTGGGACCACTTTTGTGATCCATCAGCTGATCGAACTTCTCAACCATTCCGGGCATAGCTAGATCATTTATTCCTCGATTGACGAAACCCCTGGCACCGAATTTTAAATATGACTGCGTAGCAATCGAAGTAACAAGTGTCTGAAGATGGCGCCTATATCACCAAACTGGCTACTTATAGTAATACTAAATAAAATACTTTTTTTTACTTTGTCAAGCTTCTACGTCTAATTCTCACTCGTACCATTTAACGTACCATCGGCGATCATTCTTAAAATCCATCTCATACGTCAATTGAAGTTTGCAATTGTCACGAGTGTCAATTGCTTCCGCATAGACGGCTAAAGGCCTCAATTTGCTGTGGACGGTCGATTTGCATATAATAGTCACAGTTTTCATGTCCTGAAGGTACTAGAGAATTTTCAAGTTTCCCTTTTCTGACTTCCCGTCTCGAGTGTTCATCGAAAAAATGCCTCTGAATGGTGTTCAAAGCCTCGCGTGTAAAACCTATCGATCGATATTATATATCGATTTTGATGTCTCGAGCTTACATAAAATGATACATGCCAGAAATGGCTCTTTGTCAGTCGGTGCACTCCGAGGCGAAGCTCTCCAGGTCGACGTAGTGTCCGTTCATGTTGTCCTCGAGCAGTTGGGCTAGATCCCTCCTTAAGGTCTGAAACTCCGGTCGTCGATCGGGATCGGCATGCCAGCACCTCGATATCACCCTGAAGAGCTCACTTCGGCAATGGGAAGGCCTCTCCAGCCGATATCCGCTCTGCACGTTTCGCATCACCTCCCTGGCGCTCATGTCCGGGTACGGCGTCGAGCCTGAAAACGAGGAAGTTGTTAAAGAAATGACGAAATTAATATGCCGCAAGAAAGGCTCCGGGGTTAATCCGAGTATAAACTCCGAATAATGCCCCCTTAAGTGCGACAGTAACAACCGCTTTCGGTAAAGCATGTATGCGGAACAAATTGAAAACAAATGGGACGTAAAACTTGGCATGCAACGAGCAACCTGAGATAACTGCTGTCGGATTTTGTAGATTAAATCATAAAGTAATTTCAGGGGATGTAAAAGTGGCATCTTAGGGGTCAATCGTTCATGACAACTTTTCTCCAAAATGGGTGGACCGATTTCTTTCAAATTTTACCACGTGAGTAAGGAGACCCTAAGGTAGTTCCTGAAACTGGCAAAATTTCAATTCTTGTTAGAATTGAAATTTCATGGGTTTCAGGACCTTCCTCATAGCCTCCGTATTCACGTTGTTAAGTTTGAGACAGAGAATAGTTTCATAAACGGTACCTCTTTGACGCCACTTTCGCACCACCTTGAGTCAAGTCTGAAGCACAGTTTTCCATGTCTGCACCCACCGTTTCTATTCCAACACTAGTAGGTATAATTTTTGGAAATCTTAATCATTTTTATATCTCGTATAATGAACATCATCAGAAAGGAGCTCGTTACATGGCGCGTTGAGCGCTTGCACTATTACTGATTTTGCCAAAGGCCATTTACCGAGGGTGACGATTTCCCACATGAGGATCCCAAAGCTCCAGACGTCGGTTTTGGTTGTGAAAAGGGAGTAAATTAGCGACTCTGGAGCCATCCACCTGATCGGCAAGGCATTCCTTCCGTGCCTAGTTTCGATGATTTCTCCGTCCTCGTTGGCGAACCTTGACATACCGAAGTCCGCTATCTTGCAGAGTTTATTGTGATCCACAAGGACATTCCTCGCAGCCAGGTCGCGGTGAATAATCTTCCATGGAACAAGAAAAATGAATATTTATTAGTGCCCCCGGCGGCGTATGTCGTCCAGATAAGTTTTAGTAGCGGGATTCCAGAAACGACCCGACTCCTTTATTTCGCATAAAATTCCAAGGTAACAAGACCCCCGTGAGATTAGATCATGCGAATCTCGCATCTGTCCTACGAAGACGTGGACGTAGACTGACCGAGTAGGCGCACTATCAAGACAATCCAGGATCCACAATTTCCCCTAAGATAAAACTGCATCTCGTCTCGGACTCCTTTTCAGAAGCCCGAGGTCTCTGCTCGCCGAAAACTTCAAATTATATCCCAATTCTGGATCACGGCACGCAGACATCAACTTAATGTCATCGCTATTATCTTAGGCACTCTAGTACTCTCAGGTGTTGCGTTTAGTACAAGAGTTCTTTCTTTTTGCCGAGGAATTTCTGACTTTATGCAAGCTGACTATGTAATTTGGCACACGCGAAAATCATACGTAAGTTATCGTAACGCGGCATGCCAGAATAATGTCCAGTAGGATGTCGGACTGAGGAAATGACTGGTTAATGACCGGCTTTCCCCCCTTTTTAATTCAAATACTTTCTCAATGAAATCATTCAGCCTTTGAAATGTCGTTAATTTGAGGAAATGCCTCGTTAATTTTAGGTTACGATTTTTCATAGCGAAGTGGAGTCGCTTGAACGACGTTTCATCTCAGCTCTAAGAGTTGCTCTTTAATGGGAACTTTCGAACGCTGTAAACTCGATTCCAATCTATATGCTTGCTTGAAAAAATTCAGAGTGACTGTATACATGTTAATAAACATATTGTAAAAATTCCGAGATGGGGTATTTTCATGGTTCGTTAGAAAAAATTCTGAAAAAATAAAGAAAGGGGAAAGAATAGTCGTCACACGGTATGGCTGCCTTAGGTTCTCCCTCTTCCTCAACTGAAATACGTTTCGACTTAAATTCCCCGGATCCCTATAAAAATGGCGTAAATATTAGGAAAACGCGTCATAAACTTTAAGTACCACTGGCCAGGGTCACTTGAACGCACTGATGCTCGATCTCGGTTCCATGAAATGGCGAGTACTCCTTAATAATAGTGTCCATTAATTACACGAAAGTCCTGTTGATGGCCCGACGTAGCACGTTATGGCAAAGGGACGGCAGACTGCAAACTGCTTTGTAAACTGCCTAATAATTTAGGGTTAACGACTCGTTCCGCAGTTAATATTACCTAAGATGCTCATTAGTGAATAAGCGTCATTGCTCGAAATGACATTATATCGCGTTACTGCAGACGAAGTCTCAATACGCGGAGGTCATACGGATTGCTTGTCTCGTAAGTGTCGAGCATATTCCCAGCTGAGAAGGAGTTTATGACTTCACTGATAAGCTATCGATGTCCCCAGCATGATATCTCGTGTAAACAATTATGATGCATCGTATAAAAAAAGAATCGAGGTGACACAGGGGAACGAATTGTCAAGAAATACCTGCATTTATCAGGCTAATGTGTTTACTGCTGCCGTTTTATTATCGGCACAGCTGGTTTCCCATCTTTCAACATTTACTTGTATGCTCTCATCTTTCTTGAGAAATCCAATGGTAGAAGAGGAAAATAACACGTTCGTTTTTACCCCAATACGTGAGTTGCAAGATGAACTACGAAGGTGCGATGTGATGGGTCCGAATATAGTACAATTGAATTAGGTTTGCAATTGAAAAGACCGACAAACAGGATCCGAATAGCTCCAAAATCGCATATCGTCCCGCTAAATCGGCCATCTTGTACTTTCTTGAGCTTTCTAGCGTTCGGGACGTCGACGAAAGCGTATCTACCCTTCCGCACCTTTTTAAGAAAAGTGCAACACCCTCGTTACCCTCGGGGATGGAAAGTGCAGACAAGGCGAAGAAACCTATAGCCGGGAGATTTCCAAATTCGTTCCGCACCAATCGCAATGATAACAAGGTCGTTACGCCACGAGGGGGTCCGAGAGTCGAGTAGAAGTAACGCGATCGACAGCCGAACCGTTTGAAGAAGGAGCGAAGGCAGGATCGAAGCGCTTTGAGAACCCCCTAGGTTGAAGATCCGCAGGTCGAAGGAAGCGATTTTCATTTTCATAGAAGAAGAGGAGAGCAACGAACTCGGCTAGCGGCGAAGGCAGAGCCGGAGGAGAAATTCCAGGGAGGGCACTTTGCCGGAGAGAGATCATCCTCTGGGCGAGGTGGCTCATCTTCCTTTACCTCCGGCTGCCGAGAAGCGCGGCGGTCGAAAAAGTCTTTCCCTCCCCGGGCTGAAAATGCCACTCTCCGGCCCGGTTTCGCCAATTAGAGGGAAATCCATAAAGGCGAAGGGACGAGGACGAGGGAGCCTGGCCGTAACCGAAGTGCGAAGACGTCTTCTGGTTGCGGGTTCCGCGGCCGCGTATACCATAAACTCCTTCGAGAGCTTAATGGCCGCGCGGTAGTCGAGCGGCGATCATCGTTACGAAGGAATCCTCGATACGGTATCTTCGCTAATTTATATTTATCGACAGGGACCGGTCCCTCTTCCTCGGCACTCTCGCTTCCTTCTGCCTGCCCACCAGCTGACAGTGTGTCAGTCGGTTAGACGCGGGTTTTCGTGCCGGTGGAACCGGGTCCTGCCACGCTCCTCCTTCGTCGATACTCCTGCGTGGTCGCGGTGCTTGATCCTTATTTCGACTACTGCGGCCCGACTGACAGCTCCTTATTTTACGCCTCTTCTTTTCTTCCGACCGATCCGACGGAGGAACCATGCCGAGATGGGTGTTTTTATTGCACCCGGGTGTAGTATCTCAGCGGAATTGGGGCCGTGATACTTTTCGTCGATTCGGTCGGCTCGTGCTGCCGAATGAGATATCGTCGTTTGTGGGTAGTCCTGATTAGTAGGCCTATTGTTAAGTTACTCCTCGATGCTGTAGACGAACACGATCAAGAGGGTGGCACCGGAACCCTGACATCTTAGTAACGCAGACTGCCCAACAGACCGTCATTAGTTTATCACTCGATTAATATTATGACATAATTATTCACAGGGATACTGTACAAAGGAACTCTCTCATATTTAAGTTGAAAAAATGAGACTAGGATAGTATGGTGCAAAGTGCAAGTACTAGTGCAGATCTGTATGCCTTTAGCTCGTCACGAGACGGCAAAGAATTAGGTATGTTAAAAATAATTAATTGTTTCGCTCTTAAGTGCAAACTCTTCCTCACGTTTGCCCCAAAGTAGCGGCCAAAGTGATTATTAGCGATACTGCCTTAGTTTGTTCCTTAGTCAACGTTATAAATATCAACATATCAAATATAAATGTCAACAGCACATCGGGAATGTCGACTCTTTCGATATGAATGACGACAAAGTATTTTCCACAGTAGCGAGCCAGACCATTGTCAATTTGTTAGCCAGTTGCGTTATAAATTTGCATATCAGAGTGAGTTGTTTCAGGAAGCCTGATTTCTTTGTGCCGAAGACAGCATTGTTAAAGGGGATTCCAGATACATGAGTGACTCCACTGTCAGTTTGTAAATCAGCTCTACACAGAGTTTCGCGGATCCTTTCAGATAGGTGTCCTCTTTTTGTTGGAGCAGTATTTTCGTAAGGACGCGACGAGTCCTTGCGACGCCTGCCTGGCATATTAAATATGCTCCTTGGTAGACTGCAACTCTTTCTTTCTTCTTCTTCTTTTCACTTTCTTCCAAGTTGAGGAACTTTCAGTCATGAAATTACTCAGATTATCGAAGGCGATGGCTAGAGTACGATTTTTATTCTCGTTTCATCAGGCTTTTCCTTGCTGGTTTTGTTTCGTTCCTTACCTCTAAGAGGGAAATAAAAGAGGAAAACACCCAAGGTATCGGGGTCGTTACTCTTTTGAACTGACAGCGAAGAATACCCTGACGTAGATGACTAAGAATAGGATCTTATCCTCCCCAGGTCTTGGACGGTTAAGGTAATCGTGATTGAAGACAAAGATAGTCCCAGTAATTAAAATGCATTTCGGCCCAACAGGACCTCCAGTAGGACTTAAATTTTGAGAAACAGGTGTTAGAAGGATATTAATCTATGCAATGAATGATTAACAATTACGCCGATTAACGTGGACTAAATCGTATAACATCGGCTGTACTTCTTGGTGCCAATTAATCATGAAAAAACACTACGGAGCACTTCTCAATGCAATACAAACGAAACCTTAGCCTGTAAAACAAGTCACAATCATAATATCATCCCACATCTCGAAATGTATTACGATAAGATCATTTGTAACACAAGTCAAGGATCCTGACCGTCCTTGAATCATGGTAGCCTTCCATGTATGACCATGCCCATCTCTACTCTCCGATCACCCCTGATAAAAAACGGAATCATTTTGTTAAAACGACCAGAAATCTCAAGGTCCATCATCCTCGTGCGGCTTCGGAAGACAAAATGTCAATTGCTTCGATCGTCTCGTCTTGCAGTAGTTCCGTTAAATAAATGACATGTCTTTATCATATATCTAGCAAATAACACATCTAGGAAATTTTAGGACGCTTACCTTTTTGGAGGCGAGGTACTCCATACCCCTGGCGACGCAGTATCCGAAAACCGTGAGATCCCTGGACGTCAGGGCTGCGGAATCCTCGCTGAAATTGTAAAAGTCCTGCCTGGTGCGATGATCCCGCAAATATGCCAGGAGCTTCCCGTACATGACGTACTCCAGGATCAGGTAGTGCGGTTCTGCAATAGGAAGTGCGTCATTAAAGCCTCGTTTCACTCGGGGTACAAAGGGTCTCTCAAGAGGAAGCTCTTAACAACCCTGATAATTTTTTGCTACGCGAAGAAGCGCCGGCGCGCGGGGGGGGGGGGAATAAGAAAAAGAAGTAATTGGCGGCGACTAATGATCGCCGTGGTTGATGTCGCTAAAGACGAATAAAAAAGGAAAAAAGAATACGGGTAATTGGCCAGGGGAAGGGAGCAATTCTTCGGGCGAATTTACGAGTCGGCATCAGCCAAGGTGATGGCGCGTTCTTCACCCTTTGCGATTAATCAGTTGGGCAAACTTTCGTTAATCTCCCCGTGCAAGAACGTCGTGCCAGGACACTCGCCGTAAATCCTTCGTTATTAGGGACAATCCCACGCGACATCGCATATTTAATTTTGACTGCCTCGTTTACATAATAAGCTGGTTAAGGGGTTCCTTTTGCCCGGTACCGGGTTTCCGTGAGGGGCAAGCGCAATTTCAAGGGCTAATTACAACGATGGACTTTCTTGTCATTGCCCTTTTTTTGTGAGTATGTATGGAGGCCATAGAACAAAATAAAAAAAATTAAAAAAAATGAAAATGTTTCTTTCGTATAAAAGGAGCAGTAAAATGCAAAAAAAAATGGAACATAACATAGAAGTACCACTCGTGATATAATTATATAATTCCTACATGTTATTATTCAAGGCAAAGCGAACGGTATTCATATTTAGAATTATATTTCTCACCCTGCACTCTGTTTATCACTTTCTCTCTCTTCTGCTGTGAAACTAAATATAGTACATGGTAGCATTCTTAAATATGCTAATTTGCTAATTTTTTACATATTTTTCTTTCGTTTCAGTGTAAACAGTTCAGCCGTCGAGTCAGGCTCGTGATAAGTACGTTTAGGGCTCCATATTTTCGTTGTTAGCAAAGCATCTTTAATCCTTTGCCACAATATCTTTTTCGGTACACGCACGAGCTACTCGTGCTACCTGACTTGATTGTACCTCATCATTACAAGGCAAAGGGTTAACAAGCTCGATTGAGAATCGAAAACGCCCAATCACTATGGTTGTTAGTCCTCGGCGTGTTCCCTGTTGCAAAAAAGCAACCGAAGACCCTTTACCCTCGGTACTTTCATCTTCGGGAGAAGGTCCATTGTTGTTTTTCGTTTGGGCACGATCATGCACGAATTCCGTAAAATATATTGTACCTACATACGAACCCTAATCACTTTCGATTAACAGAATTCCCAGCGACTGCGAAGCTAGAATTCCCTACACATCTTTAGATTATGTTCCTAGACATCACTTGTGACACTTACATAACCTACAAACCACTTCGCGCCTTCATTGGACATATAACCGCATATAAAGCTACATAAATACATCTTGCCACAGAAAGCACGGAATTATCTGTGCCAAGTACATTCCACATTCCGCTGATGCATTTCCAATACGAGATTACGTTATCAAACTGATCCATCGTAATCACATTAACCCAGACTCAGCGAGAAAACGGTAGAGTGATAAAAAAAAGCGAACATTTGGCAGAAAAGCATTGAAAGCTCATAACGATATCACGAAAACGCTTAAGGGGTCTAAACCAACCCACGAAATGGAAAGAGGAATCTATGGAAAGGCAGTGATAGGATCTTAAGTCGATGATAGCACGCGAGTACCGATAGAGGTCGTCTTCTCGTGGCCTTTTAATGGCGCCTTCACGTGAGAAAATCCTATTAAATCGGGGAAGATTTCGCGGCAGCGAAACCGCGCTTGCTGCCGCGGGATTTATCGCCGACTGGCGACGATAACTATAAACAAAAGGAGCCGCGATTAGGAGCCCACGGTGAGGGGCAACTCCTTTCGAAATATGGCGAGCGTACGCAGGTCTTTTGCGGCAATTTAAGCGGAGCATTTTGGCCCAGTGGGTATTCCCTGATTGTAACTTATGGGGCTACTTCTCCCGGCGCTCGGACTCCTCTTATAACTCTTATATTAGGCAGCATTATCAGGATAATAACTTGGGGTTGTTAAGGACCCCTTTGTACATTTTCTGCCAGACAAACCCATCGTCGGTGCGATTCTGATTTCGAAGTACTTTTTGCGTGACTTCTATCCGCGTCGCAATATTGAAAGATGTGTTCGTGGTTCGACTCGTTATAACTGTTATATTAGGCAGTATTATCAGGCTAATAACTTGGGGTTGTTAAGGACCCTTTTGTACATTTTCTGCCAGACAGACCCATCGTCGGTGCGATTCTGATTTCGAAGTACTTTTTGCGTGACTTCTATCCGCGTCGCAATATTGAAAGATGTGTTCGTGGTTCGACTCGTTATAACTGTTATATTAGGCAGTATTATCAGGCTAATAACTTGGGGTTGTTAAGGACCCTTTTGTACATTTTCTGCCAGACAGACCCATCGTCGGTGCGATTCTGATTTCGAAGTACTTTTTGCGTGACTTCTATCCGCGTCGCAATATTGAAAGATGTGTTCGTGGTTCGACTCGTTATAACTGTTATATTAGGCAGTATTATCAGGCTAATAACTTGGGGTTGTTAAGGACCCTTTTGTACATTTTCTGCCAGACAGACCCATCGTCGGTGCGATTCTGATTTCGAAGTACTTTTTGCGTGACTTCTATCCGCGTCGCAATATTGAAAGATGTGTTCGTGGTTCGACTCGTTATAACTGTTATATTAGGCAGTATTATCAGGCTAATAACTTGGGGTTGTTAAAGACCCTTTTGTACATTTTCTGCCAGACAGACCCATCGTCGGTGCGATTCTGATCCCGAAGTACTTTTTGCGTGACTTCGATCCGCGTCGCAATATTGAACAATGTGTTCGTGGTTCGACTCGTTATAACTGTTATATTAGGCAGTATTATCAGGCTAATAACTTGGGTTTGTTAAGGTGATGTGAAAGTGGCGTCGAAGAGATTTTTTTTATAAAACTTTTTCCCCAACTCGGTTTACCGAATAGTTTGAAACTACAACGTGAATAGGAAGACTATAAGGAAGGTCCTGAAACTCATGAAATTTCAACTCTTTTGAAATTTGTTTATAGGTATTTAAAAAATAGTTTATAAAGAATGAAATTTCATTTTTCTGACCTATCTTAGGGCCTCAATATTCACGTTTTATAGTATGAAACGATTTGAGACACCCAGTTCTTAAAAAAGGTTTATGAACAATTGAGCTTTCGGATACCCTTATTCTTACACATTTTTTGCTAGAACAACCCGTCGTGATAACCTATTTCACATAAAAAGTAATGTGTCTGTCTTCAATTATGAACGCAAATGGTACAATCACCTGTAAAATATATGAACAAAATGTTCAATTATAGATAGAGGACGTGAAAATTTAATTGGTTCATAATCTAAACGGTCTTATCGACACGTGTCAGAAAGATTGCATGAACAAAGCTTCTGACACTGAGTCTGGAAGTCTAAAATTGTATGCCCGGAAGGAATTTAAATGGCACGTCGATTGCAATGAACTAACGTCAATGTCTGACTCATATCCCCGAGACACGTGTGCTTTAATGCACCGAGGAAAAAGTGTCACTGAATTACAAATGATTGTCTTGCGCAGTGTCGTTTAACTAATCATTTGTTCCACACAACCATTGCGTTATCGCCGTACAAGTCTTTCTCTTTGACGTGGAAATATTCGTGTTGGGAAAAGAATTGCTGATAAATATGGGAGTAATTTCTGTTCAACGGACAATGCGCGATTCTGTCACCCACTAATCATTTTCAAAACAGAAAAGTGGACGAATAGTCGGATCATGAGTTCCACGTAAATGACGTTTCGGGGCAGAATTTTCAGACTATTTCGAGCCTGAAAGCAAATTAAAATTGAAAGTTGATTACTGTGAATCGTCAGTAAGAATGGTAACAAATTAACTCTGATAATGAACGATTAAAGAGCACAATTGTACCTTACCGGTGACAAGACTTGCCGTTCTCGAAGTCTATTGTCGGATTAGAGATAAGTCTTACCATGCCAATCGAATGGTGATAAATCCAACTACTCAACACTGGATACTAATCATGTTTCTCGACAATCAAATCGGCAATAGTATACATTGGAGTTCTATTGTTTGCCCGTACATGAGGTATAGCGACAGATGAAATTCCAGTAGGTACTCAGATATTGCAAAATAATGAAATATTCTAAGCTTGCGCCATTACAATTTCAAACTACTATTTTTAATGGTTTTCATTTTATTTTGATTTAAAAAAAAAAAGGTTCGCTTTTTTCGGATATTCTTAGCTTCGAGGATTTATTTTAAAGATTTTAAACGTTGCCAAAATGGTATGATATATTTCTGTTGTTGTAGCGTTATTTCCGAACGATCTGTGCAAAATGCAGAAAACCTGTACGATCTGATTTTTATCGTTAACGAACCAGAATTTATAGAATTTCAAATGTTAAACCCTTATCATAAATTCTATTACAACGTATTCACGTGAATTGAAGTTGCACCAAAGATGAAATTATTCCAAGTGATGACGCGTTGGGAGTTTCACGTATATAAAAAAATGCAAAGTCTGCGTATAGGAATACCGGGGATAAAAATATTTGCATATGCTCACGCATCACTGTCGAAGCGTTGCAAATGGCGCATACCTGAGATAAACGATTGGGAGGAAAACATCGGGAGAAACATTATTTGCATCTTCGAGGCAGCCGCGAGTCCTAACGAATTAGGATTTATAAAATTTCAAATGTTAAACCCTTATCATAAATTCTATTACAACGTATTCACGTGAATTGAAGTTGCACCAAAGATGAAATTATTCCAAGTGATGACGCGTTGGGAGTTTCACATACATAAAAAAATGCAAAGTCTGCATATAGGAATACCAGGGATAAAAATATTCCCATATGCTCACGCATCACTGTCGAAGCGTTGCAAATGGAGCATACCTGAGATAAACGATTGGGAGGAAAACATCGGAAGAAACATTCTTTGCAT